CTTCATTAACATAAGAGATCTACATATAAGCATATCAAAAGCTTGCACGAGTATTATCGGTCACAGCTGTAAACAATCATTTGACATTGTCTTTTATGTATCTATCTATATATATATATATTTTGTAGAAATCTGTTTCCAATGCAGTTTTGAATTAATAATGAATGCATTAACTAAATATTGAAGGAAAAAAAATCACATACTCACTCAAAAATTTACGTTCATTATATGGAAAAATACTTCAACATAACCACTATTAGAAAATGTAGTTGTCAATACTACTTTTCATTTTTATTTTATTTTTATTCCTTTATCGATCTATTCGTCTATATATATAGATGGATGTGTTTTTTTAAGACTTGAATAGTATACATAAGTAAGATAATCGCCTCAAGATATGATGATAATAAACAACCGTTCAAATCTCTAGAGCGTTTTATAAATCAAATTGAATACTTAGATCACACTTCTAACTCTGTAGTACTACACAAGAGCGATGAAAATTGATAATTTAATAATCGTAAAAAAAAAAATTTTCTCACACATCTAAATAAAAAAAAACAAGAATGGGAAAAGTTAATCAGCATGAATAGTATTGACTTTTATATATTAATTCATTATCGATTTATAACATACCGATTTGAAAAGAAATTCATTTATGTAAACAAAGACATGGCGCCGATTAGTGATTGTTTCTATTTTCTTTTTTTTTTTATTCTCGCCGGGTTTTTCTATGGATCAATTAAATAACATGACTATAGATATTGTATGCCTCTTTTATTGAACTAAATGATTCATTCGACAGCTGACATATTCTTATCATTAGGAAAATAATAAAAATATATTTATTTGAATAGACTTATATATAAAAGAAAAGAAAAATAATATTCTATACACCTAATGAAAAATCGAAAGGGGTCGCTGATGTTTTTATTAAATGAAGTCCATCACATCACAACAATGTTTACATAGATATTTTCCATGTGTTCAATTCAATATTTATGTAAATAATAAAAAGAATTATCAAACATATGACAATTCTAATTTTTGACTCAAGTATACTTATAAAAAGAAAAAATGAAAATTGGATTTCTTTTCAAAAATGGAAAGAATTTTTCTCGATTCTTATATTCTTTTTTTTTTATTACATACTAGTTACATAAATTGTGATGAACAAAGAAAATATATATGAAACTATCAACATATTAAACGATTAACATATTGATGTAACTAAAACATCAGATAAAAAAAAAAGATAAATAATTGATTTTTTTTTCGAAACAATATATCATATTACCTAGTTTTAATAACATGTTGTTTCTTTCTCTCTAATATAAATATATGTTATAAAATTGCACGTTAGTCAAACATAGAAAAGATAATATAATATTGAAATACAATTTTCAATATTCATTCTTCTAATGGTAATTATTATTTAACTAAAAAAAAATATAGATATTATCTAGTTTAACCTTGAAAATGCCAAAGACAATTGTAGAAGGTTTTGACTTCGTAACCGATGTCTGCAAAGGAGGCGGGTGCATGTTGGTAATATTTCTATAAGAGAGGCTTAAACCTATTTTCAAGCGGAACACAATCGCTTGTAAGCGGAAGAGGCTGGTTGCTGAGCCCTGTCTTTGGTTACGCCACATGTATACAATCAATTAATAGAGATTAAGGGAATTTCATGCCAACATCCTCCATGTTTCTTCTATTTACTGTAGTTGTTTTTTTTGTTTCAGCTATGTTTATAAAAGTAATATTGTTATTTCTTATGCATTATTAATAAATTAGGTAATTAAAAGTATATGCTTTGTTTTTTGGTAATCATTTCCCAGTAAACATATTTTAGTGATTAAAAATATTCATATTCTTGAATATTTTCTGTATCAATCATTTAATTATTTTATTTTACATTTCCCAAGAGATGAATAAGCCAAAAAAAAAAAAACAAATGTATATTTTGACATTTTAAAGAATAAAAATTATATTGATCAAATGAAGTCATTCAATGATATTCAAATTACTCATTTGTTGATATACTAATTAATAAAGTTGTAAGAAATTACATACAGATCGATTTTTAATTGATGATTTCTCAGAAAATATTGTTCGTAAATATAAAAGAAATTTTATTATGTAATGAACAAATTCTATTTGTTTATCGAAGAGCAACATTAGCAAAAGAAAAGAAAATACATTAAAAAAAAGAGAAAGTGAAAATGAAATTATTTTGATTAATGAATTTTTCTCAGCTAGTCGATTTCACACATTAGCACTTACTTTTACTATAAACTTACCCAACGTATTGATGCAATGCCTGTATACTGAAGAACAAACAATTTTATTTTATTTAATTACTACTTTCTAATTAGATAGTATTCGAGATAATGGAGAACTTTCGGTTGATCACAATGAATGCACCTTCTAATATAAAACATTTGAGTTATATTTACTTGAGCAATAATGAAATTTAGCAAAAAAATTATTGAATGGGCAATAATTTTATTGAATGAGCAATAATTTTATTCAATGAGCGATAACTATACTGAATGAGCAATAAATATATTCAATGAATAATAAATATATTGAACGAGCGATAATTTATTTAAATTTAAGGTAAATTTTATATGAAAAAGGACTATATGGATTGATTTTATTATGGCACATTCCAAAGATGTGCTATGAGAGTTGTGTTATACTATACATGTGTATTTTCGGTCTTTTTCTTTCTTTCTATACATATATATCTTCGTCTTTTGTTATCTTTCTTTCTGTCAGGTAGGAAGTTGCATCGGATTTTCTGGATCCGACTAACGGGTCGTGAGCCATTCTATCATCTCGAATATTAAACTGTTATTCGAGTACACATTTTGTAGAGCAATATTTGCTCTACAAAATGTGTACTAGAATAACAGTTCAATATCCAAGACGATAGAATGGCTCACGATCCGTTGATCAGGTCCAAAAAACCCAGTGCATCCCCTACCAATCAGATACATTCCCATATTGCTTTCTCTTGGATTCTTCATTTCCTCCTTACATATGATCATTCCGATATATTTCTTACGTATCATATCTATTCCTGGTATATTCCACCATCTCAGACATATATCTACGTATGTGATAACAGGGACACTCTAATTTTTCGGAAATAAACAACATATATACAAGAACATATGACGGATCTAACACATTTAGTTATACAAATATGTAAAAAAAAGAGACAGATCATTTAAAGCAAAAAAAGTTTTATTGACACAATAATCTACTATATTTTTCTTTTTTATAACTAAAATATGAAATTACTACTACTATTTAATGAATTAATTATTGTCCATTTAATAATATAAAATTGCTCAAATAAATACTAGCGAAAAACTCTACTATAGCCATATATCGTGGGACAGAAGATCAAAATATTGTAATCATATTTGAAAGATTTATATGTAATTTTAAATAATATGATAAATATTTTAAACAATCGAAATGATGAAAGCCTTGCTTGAATGAAATTTAATATTGGTTAAATCTTTTGTATTTAAAGATAAATTAAACGTAGCAGGAAAATATTAGAATAGTGCATATAATCAAATGATAAATATTTAATCAGAATGTAGCAAAACTATTTTTTCTGTAATTAATGCTATTAGTATTTTTCTTATATGATAAAGGAACGTATAATAAAACTTTAAAATTCTACCAACGAATATTTCCAATATGAAAACATGTATATTCTCCATCTGATCACATTGAACATTGCTTTTAAACTTTATCACATTAAAAAATATTCATAATATCTTAGGATAATATGAAGAAGTTTTCGCATATTATATAAAATTTTAAATTTTACATCCGAAAATATATAATAACAGTCATAAATTTCATTAATAAGAACTTGAAAAAGAAAAATATTAATCTTCAATGCTTGTTGTAAATAATTACGAAAATCATATTTAATTGTTATCGACAAATATTTTATGGGTGTTATAAAGAAAAAAGAAAAAATTCGATTTCAACATTGATTAATTTCATATTTTCTGTAGACAAAAATGATTAAGAATAACAGAAAAAGAAATTAATCATCAACCGAAGAACGAATTGATAATGACAGATTAACACAGAATTCGATGACATAAAGAAGTTTTTCGAGTGAAATGATTACACCCAATCATTTCATAACAAATCTCTCCGTTTATCATATGGTCAGGAGATCGATGACTTTCACCATAATTCATCAACACACTACAGAATTATTATATTTCTTTTTCAAACGAATTTTTAAATATCCGAAACTGTTGGGCACGCAAAGAGTGGATTATTAGCAGTCAGATCAGATTCCAACATACAATACAAAGATCCCTTTTAATTTATTCAGTCTTCCGATTTTACTTTTGGTCGCTTAAGATTTATCTCGTCTGATAATTTATGCAAAATAATCTGCAACCAACATTTTATTTATCAAGGTTAATAGTTGAATTGTATATAGATATGGCCAGGATGGTCTCGGTCCTAACAAAACCGAGACCAAGACCGTTTTTTTTTTCTAGTCGAGATCAGGATCAAAAATTTTTCTAACCGAGACTGAGACCAAAGATGATTGGTTCTACTCATGTATAATTGTATATCATAAGGTATAAAAAGAGAAAATTTCCACATACTTCTTAGACATTATTATATTGACTAGTGGCATCATTAGACAGAGATAACAAGGAACTCAGTTCTCTCTAGAAATATCTGAGCCTGTTAGAAAATTTGAAATCCTTACGAATCGTGATTTGAACTCATTTATAGAAAGAGTTGATGAAGTATTAAGATCATCTAGAATTTTTTATTTTACGTCACTGTTATGAATGTAATTTCTACTATTACAACTCTCGATTATCAAGCGCCATCTACTAGTTCTATTCGATTGCTCGATAAAAGTCTTCCAGTTAATATTTTTATTCATAATATTGTTTCTATTTCTATATTTACGAAATATTTCTAACGCATAATACATGACTTCAATTACATCAAAAGATGCCAATTTTGCACTTATTGGTATACGATTAGGTGCAAGTAATATAGTTATTGCTTATTTCAAAGTAAAATTGATGTTTTGTTTTTTTTTTCAATTTAAATTTTCTTCTTTTCAAAAACTTTCAATTCATTGTAGGATGGTCGAAGTGAAACTATTGTTAATGAATTAGGTGATCGTGTTACACCAACATTTATTACATTCAATGAAGGAAATGATATTGTAATGAATTGATAATTTTCATATTAAATTTATTTTTATCTTTTTTTTTGTATATATATATTTAGTCTATAGGACTTCCATCAAAACAAAATCTTGTGCGTAATCAACAGAATACAATTATATGGTCATCACATTTTCTTGAAAAACATGATGATAATGATGTTTTAATAACAAATTATAATAAAAAATCTCCTATAAGTGTAAGTAATAATAATGAAAATAAATATTTAAAAAAAAAAATTCAATGAGATTATTTTTCTTTTCTAGGTTATTGAACATGAAAATCGTATAGAATTTTCTTTAACAATTGATGGTAAAATAAAATTAATTTCTCTTGAAACTATTATAATCAATCTATTAAATTATGTTCGACGTAAGTTAATACAAAAAAAATTCTTTATTATTAAAAAATAATTCTTTTATAGAACTTGTTCAAGCTGTTACTAATTCACGTGAAGTACAAGCTGTATTATCTGTACCTTATAAAATGATTCAAACAAATAATCAAGATTTAATTCGGTAAAAAAAGAACAAAAAAAAAAAACAAAGATGTTTATCAATTCTCTTTGTAGAACTTGTATGAAGAAAAGTGGTATTGAACTTCATTCAATTATATCTGATGCATGTTCAGCTTGTTTGGCTTATGAATTAGATAAAGATAGTGGACATGTTGCAAGGTATATTCATATTTCTTATTAGAAAATTGATCTTTTTTTTTTTTTTTATTTTAGTAATGTTCTTGTTTATCGTCTTGGTGGTTCAACATATGAATGTTCAATCATACGAACTATTGGTGGTTGTTTTCAAACAATTGTATCTGTAAATGGATTTGAAAATAGTGGTGATGTTTTTACAGATCTTATTATAGATATTATTGCTGATGAATTTCAAAAGTATTTTTTTTTCTTGTAAATCAAAAAAAGAAGAAATTTGTTTTTTGTGTCTTGTTTAGAAAAAATAAAACTGATCCAAGATTATCATCAAGATCATTACTTAAACTTCGTGCTTGTGCTGAACAAGCTAAACATATTTTATCAACAACAGCTGTTACTCAATGTTCGATTGATGCATTACATGATGGTATTGATCTTGATTGTAATATAAGCAGGTTTGAAAAACTATGAATTTATTATTTTATATAGAATTGTTTTTCTTTTTTTTTTTAAGACTTCGTTTTGAAGGTGCAGCAAATTCTTTAATTAATAATTGTTTAATACCTATTGATGTTTTACTTGATAAAACACAATTACAAGCTGATGATATTAAATTAGTAAATGATTCTTTTTTTTATATTTTTTTTCGTTTTTAATACTTTTTTTTTAGATTGTCTTATGTGGTGGTGGTACGAAAATTCCTAAATTACGTGATTCTATTCAAGATAGATTACCTAATGCTGATATGCTTTCATCAATCAATGGTGATGAAGTTATTGCACTTGGTGCAGCAAGACAAGTAAATATATTTTCGGAAAGAAAAACAGAGATTTTTAATGTTTTATTTATCATTTTAGTGTTATATTGAAAATAAATATGCTAAAGTTCAATTATCAACGGTATGTATTTTGTTAAATGAAATGGATAACAGATAAGTGTGGATGAAGAGAGGGATCAGACCTATACTCAGCTTTATGAGAAGCCTTTCCAAGTGGTTTTTCAGCAACAAGCTATACTCTCTCTCGTCAGATTACGTGGAAAATCAATTTCAAACTTTGCATGAATAATGAGATTAATTAATTGGGCAAGTTGTAACTTTTCTAGTATTTCTCCTATCCTGAGATATTCGAAATTTTCCTATGTGTAAAAGCAACATATTTACATCTCTAGAAAGACTACAAAAACTTGTACAACCAACTAATCTCATTAAGGACTTTGCTCGTGCAAAGATTGAAGTCGAAACTCGAATTTTCACGTGACCTAAGGTAGAGTCCACTCGGGTCCAAAGTTTTTGGACTCGGACTCAGTCGAACCATATTTTGATACTTTCAATGAAATTTTTCTGATCGGAATTGGACAGCCGCTCCGAAGATACGAGATACTTTTCAGTGACTAATACATCCAACGCATTTCTCAGACGAGTCGTTAGAAAAATATGTCTCAAGAACGAAGGTCTGAAAAATCAAACCATTCGAAACTTTTCTATTACTCATCAAATGATTGAAAAGTGATTTGAGGTTTCTTCATTAGTGGAAAAAGTTTCCTGCTTTGTACTTGAAATAGTGAAGATTCGGAGTGTTTTCTAAGGAAGGTTCTATCAATGATTTCAAGCTTTTAAATTCATATTTTTGGATTGAATATTATTTCTTTTACTTCAATATAAATATCATAGATTTTAATTTTATTTTAAAGGATAGTAAACATTATGAACGTGTTGGTGTACGTTATTTTCGTTCACATTTAATAAAAACCGATGATCAAACAGATGAAATAAGTGATAGTGATATAGATGATAATGATGATGAAAAAGAAAATGAACAAGTTGATGTTGATTGGAATAAACATGAATCTTATTTACGTAAACTTGATTTAAGTGATTGGAAAAATCAAGATCATTATAAAGTCTTAGGTTTATCAAAATTACGTTATAAAGCAACACAAAAACAAATACGTAATGCACATAAATTAATGATATTACGTTATCATCCTGATAAATCAAAACGTATTGAAAGTGAACGTTTTTCATTAATAACACATGCATTTGAACTTTTATCAAATCCAATATTAAGACGTTCATATGATAGTATTGATCCTAAATTTGATGATTCAATACCAAATCCAACAACAATTGATAATTTTTATGAAATATTTGGACCTGTTTTTGAACGTAATGCACGTTGGTCTGTACATCAACATGTACCATTATTAGGAAATGATGATACATCATTTGAACAAGTAAATAAATTTTATCGATTTTGGTATGATTTTGTTTCTTGGCGTGAATATTCATATTTAGGTAAATATAAAAAGAATTAGATTAAATTTTTAAAGTAAATAAATCTTTTATTTTTTTATTTAGATGAAGAAGATAAATCTCAAGGACAAGATCGTGA